TCTAAAGCGTGTATATTTTTGACGAGATATGGGGACCAGACTGGTACCGTATATTCTATTATAGTACACTCAACAAAATTACTCGACTCTGATTGGTCGAGAGGAGTACAATTATAGCGCTAATTGTACTCCGTAGAAGTACTGAATTAAGTCGCTATGGCAACACGGCCAAAACAATGTCAAAACAATTATTTTCTATCATTTTGTACTTAAAAAAGATATAAATAAAATTTTAAAGCCATAAGAACTAATCTTTTTTATGCATTTCAGTTGCGCGATGGAATGAACATCAGCCGCCAAATAGACAAAGACGAACAGCGTCGCTTAGCAATTTTTACTGAAATTTTGTTGAGTGAACTATAAACAAAAAATCGCACGATCTTCTCGTACAATTTGGAAATTAATAGACACGAGTAATGTTTTGAAAGTTCATGTAATTGCACGAGCCTTTCTCGAGATCGTGCAATTTCCTATACGAATAGGCCTAATAAGGGAAAATTACAGTGTTAGCAGTTCCTACAGGACGTTTGATAGTTCTAAGAAGAATGAATGGAGCAACACGACARCCTGACTGTTCAAATTTCAATATTATTTAAATGTCATTCCTGGCCAAAAATATACTTTTTTAGTCAAAGTGTTTTTTGATTCTGGAACTTGCTTACTCCCCAGTCTTCCTTTAGAATTCACTTCTTTATTCACTAGAGTCAGCATGYCCATCACATCCTCCACACCAGCATTTTCTTTAAAAACCTTTATCAAGCTGCTAATGAACCAGCTCCCTTCCTCTTCATGACGATGAGAGGAGTACCCCTCAACGCTGGCGAATGCAGTGAGCATATCCGCATTTTCTGCCGTAGTTTCCCTATCACTATTCTCGACAGCAATGTCGGCTTCTGGCTCTGGCGGAGGTTGAGATTTTACTAACGATTTGGACCCACTTTCCTTGACTTCTGTTCCAGGATCAGCAGTTTTTCCTCGACAGGCGTTAATAAAAAAAAGCTTGGGTTTTCCGCAAAGTGCCTTGCAGTTTTTGTTATTAAACTTTTGTTGGATGCTTTGGATTTTGATCTCCTTTCTATCGCCGGCAAAGAAATAGTCTTTATCCCCGTGACTCATGATGCAGACAATTAAGCAGTCGTAGGCTTCGAAATCATACTTGGTAGTAATGCCTTTGAATTTATTCAAGAGATCTTTTTTAGTGAGGTCAACGAACGTTTCGGTTTCAAAGTCCAGCTCTTTAAATAATTTTACAAGCCCCT